CAACTAAGCCATATATGTAACAAAAACAAGGTCACTCTTCTCCTGAAATTTTTATTTTATAAAAGTTATTTTTAGCCAAACCGGTTTGGCTCAGTGGATAGAGCGTCGGCCTGCGGACTGAAAGGTCCCTGGTTAGATTCCGGTCAAGGGCATGTACCTTGGTTTCGGGCACATCCCCAGTAGGGTGTGTGCAAGAGGCAGCTGATTGATGATTCTCTCTCATCGATGTTTCTAACTCTCTATCCCTCTCTCTTCCTCTCTGTAAAAAATCAATAAAATATATGTATTTTTAAAAAGTTATTTTTATAAGACACAATTTATGTTAACATGTAAGGGTTTATTATCATTTAAATGAATAAATAAATCATGCCCCCTTGAATACACCATACTTCAAGTATTCAGGCAGAAAAATCAAATCACTTTCAAGTGATAAAAATGAGGCTGGATTCAGAACTTTTCAACTGCAATATTCAAGGACAAAATGGGGTGATGAGCTGAAAGCTGTAAAGGAAAGAACTCGTGATGGTGGTGGTTGAAAATAGTTGATTCCCCCAAAAGATATCCATGTCCTAATCCTTGGAACCTGTAAATGTCACCTTATTTGGGAAAAGGGTATTTTCAGAAGTGATTAAAGGTCTTGGGATGAGGAGGCTATCCTGGATTCGCTGTTATCACTTGGTGTGGAAGCAACCAGGCAGACTCAGGTGCATTGTGCCAGTGCCAAACCAACTCCTCATCACCCACTGAGCAGCAGTAACTCTATCTCCTCAAAATAATTAGGGGCAATAACCTCTCCTTTGCCTGCGGGTGCATCAGCATGAGGAGCTCAGTGACCTGGTGGATTTCAAGGACTCAGACTCAGTGTTGGTGTCCTTCCCTGGAGCCAGCAGAGGTGCCTGTGGAAGTGCTCCATACCTGGGACCCAGGGGCTGCAGTCCAGCGGGCTCACTCTTGCAGAGACAGAATATACAAATTCTACAAGTGGGCCTTCAAAAATGATAGTGAGAGATAGCTCACCCCAATCCCTACTATTGGTTGTATCTTTGTTTCTGGGTTCACATATTATATCTATTGGGGGCACAGATCCATACATTGGGCTTTGGCACAAGTGTACATACCCCAGCTCCTCAGGACACTGTCCAAACACTGGCTCCCTAGCTAAGTCTTTTTTAAAATATATTTTTATTGATTTTAGAGAGGAAGGGAGTGGAAGAGAGATAGAAGCATCAATGATGAGAGAGAATCATTGATTGGCTGCCTTCTGCATGCCCCCCACTGGGGTTTGAGCCCATAACCCAGGCAAATGCCCTTTGACCAGAATCAAACCCTGGGCCTTTCAGCCGATGCTCTATCCACTCACCCAAAAGGCCTTAGCTAAGTCTTTAAGAGATCATTTCATCTACCTATGAGACTGGCTGCTTGGAGACAACACAGAAAGTTGGCAACCCACACACTGCATACCTTTCATTGTAAAATGAGTTTCTGGGCCTGAGTTGATGTTATACGCAATCCCATGCTGGTAAATTGCGTACACTCTAAGCTCCTACAACATGATGCCACTCCGAGACACTGAGAGGAAAGGCTAACCCACACCCAGAGGTGTTGACTCCTGGGTGAATCACTGGTCAGCGAGTCATCTAAGGATGGTACCATATCAGGAGCTCAGCACTGAGTTTGGCTGCTAACAGGTCAGAAATCCAGCAGTAGAAATAATTAGATGAACCTTGATAAGAGGGAGCCCATTTTGGTGGGCATACCCAGCACCTCTACCACCTTGGCTACTCCATTCACGGGCCCATTGCACAAGCATGGGGTAGCCAAGGGCAGAAGCTTGGACATCTGCCCATCCACTTTGTTGTTGAGTAACCCTCTGCAGTGGGTATAACATGAGGCACAAAGATGCATCCACTTGTGGCTGAAACCGGTTTGGCTCAGCGGTAGAGCGTCGGTCTGCAGACTGAGGGGTCCCAGGTTCAATTCCAGTCAAGGGCATGTACATTGGTTGCGGGCACATCCCCAGCAGGGGGTGTGCAAGAGGCAGCTGGTTGATCATTCTCTCTCATTGATGTTTCTGGCTCTCTATCTCTCTCCCTTCCTCTCTGTAAAAAAATCAATAAATGTAAAAAAAAAAAAAAAAAAAAAAAAAAAGATGCATCCACTTGTGACCACTCCCATAGGTCCATCTTCTTCTCCAAGAGTCCCTTGTTTCCAAGAGTCCCTCTTGCTCTTTCTAGTTCCCTGACCAACCAGCAGGACATCTGTCAGAACCCAGAAGCCCACCACTACCTGTTCACTCCACTTCTTCCCTACAAAGTGGACATCCAAGTGTCTGTTTGAAGCTCTGCCTGGGAGGACTTCCCCTCATTATAGGTTTTTAGAGCCACCCCACCCTGAATGGGGTGGGCAGCAGTGGTTTGTTTTCAGCTCATATCTACACAGCAAACTAACCCATTTGTGAATCAGACTGAATTTTCCTTCCTGTAAAAGACTGCTGCCCTCTGGACAAGCCTGGGTCCAATTGTTTTGTATTGTGCATTGAGTTGCTTCTGAGCTTCCCTAACCTATTGGCTTGGTGATCAGTCAGTATCTAGCTCAGGACAGGCAAGATTCAATCACGTGGTCATCGGATGTCCCATAATCAGGCACTCAGTCTATGCTTGAGCCCAATAGTGTTGCAGAAGTTGATTTCAATCAGTGAGTAGTTCTCCACTGCACCAGTTGTGGCCTTGCTTCAGATCTCTAGGAGGGTGCTCTGCAATTCTGTTGGGTCCCGCCAAAGCTGTTGTACAGGTCCCTATTTACCACAAATAAGCCATTGGTTCTAAGTGGCATGGAAACCCCTCCTCTAATCCGGACCTCCAACAGAGCCTCCCTTTGCTCTGAGCCCCTTCCTAGCATCCAACAAATTGGTCACAACAATATTCCTAAGTGTGGTACGTGCCGACTCCAAAATCCAGAGCTGCGTCAAGTGCCACCCTTCTTCATGCAAGACACAGTAACCTCCTTATATTGGGGATGATGCCCTGGTGTGCCCTACAACACTGCACCCCTTAAAACCTCACTGCTGACGGGCTCCAGAACTTCTGAGGACTTCATTCTCATTCTCTGGAATGCATTTTCTCAACAAGGATAGAGCACTTGTCACTTCTTTCTGCACCATGTCCAATTAGCATGTCTTCGATGTTATGTGGGATGCCTGATCAAGGTCTCAGTGGATTATACTGTGACAGAGTTAAAACTGTCATGAAGCAAGACAATGGATGTGTTTGGCTATCCCATTATAAATGTGAACTGCTTTTGGAAACTTTCTCTTTACTAGAAACTGAGAAGAATATTCACCACATCATTAAGTGCCCAATCACAGCCAGACTCCCATTAAAGACACTTCGTCCACACAGCTGTTGTGTGGTAGGCCGCCATCACTTACTTGAAGCCATCTGGATTTTGCAAGGGCCATCCAGGTGAACTGAACGGGACGAACTAGGGACTAACTACCACTTTGTCTTTGAGAGTGACACCTTCCCTACAATCCCACGTTTCTGATTTACTGTCCAGGATCAGGTGAGTGTGCTGAGGAGTTCCAGTTGTTCCCCCTTTGCTCTTGTTACCCATAATCCTTATCCTACAGGCCAGGAATCCATATATACAGGCTCTGCCCACAGCGAGGTACCACCCCTCCCTCCCCCCCCAAATTTTCAATGGAGCCAGAAAAATAACTCTAGGGCTTAGGTTCATCACCTGACTCCCAGAACCCCTCTTCTATCCAGTGGCTCACTATGTTTCAGATGTCCTACACAGTATCAGCACAGATCCTGTATCTAACGGCCCTGAAGGGTCTGGAGGGGCTTTTCCAAAGTAAATCACTTACTTTGTTAAGAGTCTCTTGGTCCCTTTGGAGAAGGATCGAGGAAGGTTTTTGTATATACTTATGTAACACTAGTAGCCCTGTGCATCAATCTGAGCGCCAGTACCTCGAGGCACTCTCCGCCTGCCGCCTCCCCCCCCCAAAAAAAAAGCTTGCTGCCCTGTCCTGACCTGCCCCCTCATCTATTGTAGCTCTCGGCGCCCTGGGCCAACTCATAAATCGCTGCCCCACCCTCCTGCTGATCTGTGATCCGATAGTTCCATGGTGTACCGACCATTTGTATATTCCATCTTTATTAGATCAGGCCTCCCTTTCAGAGGTGAGCTGCAGGTTTCAGGCCTGGCTGACTTAAAACGGCGAGGTTGTGATTTCTCGCTGCAGCAACTGACATTCATCTTCTGGTCACTGATTCTTGATTTCTCTCTGCTTATTCAAATCAAACCACTCGCCAGCTGCCCATCTATTTACACCCCCCACCCCCCAAAAAAAAAGAAACGCCCCCTCCAACAGGCCTGTCACAGACCCTGGGGGTCAAGGCCTTGTGGTTGCCCGGACAGCAGCGGAGGCCGAGGAGGCCCAGGGGAGGTGACGCAGCTCCTTGTTTGCTCCGGGCCGAGCTTTTCCCTGCGGGGTTAGATCTTGTGACTGGTTCTAGGTCTGGTGACCAGGGGGGCAGTGGGTGGGGCACGGAGGCCCTGGTTTCAAGCGGGACAAGAGCTTCTCCGAGGTGCGCTCCGCCCGACAAGGTCTCGGCGGTGGTTAGGGATCTAAGGTTCGTGGCGTCATTAAAATCGTCCCAAGGGTCACATGTGTCATCACACCCAGTGTTCATTCGGCATCTCCTTGCGCCACGCCCTCTCAGCCTCCCCTAGTGTGACCGCGCTCGCTCGGATCGCCACGCCTCTGTGAGGGGCCGCCGCCGGTGACCACGTCGCCGGTCCGCTGTGGGTTCCGGCGAGGCCCGTCCTCCTTTCCACACACCCGCCCACGGGATTGGCCAGCGTGACGCTCCGCTCACAACAATTGGCCAGCGTGACTCCGCTCAGGACGCTTCTGATTGGCGACGCCGCTTCCTTTCTTCCTGCGGCCCCGCCCAGAGCGTGAGCGAGCAGGGGCGGGGCCAGAGAAGACACGCAGGACTTGGCTCCGAAAGGGCTCGGCTCCGGGTCACGGAGAGAGCCGAGTGGCATCGCCAGGAGCCGAACGAAGCCGGAGAAGTCCGAGCGCGACCTGAGGGGCGCCGGCGGGCCGGAAGCAGAGCCGTGCGCAGCAGAGCCCGCCTAAGAGGCTGAGCGCGCCGGGCGTTGGGCCGGGCCGGGGCCGAGCCCTCGCCATGGCGGCTGAGGGGATTGCCGCGGCGGGAGGCGGGACTGTCCGCGGCCGCCTGGCCAAGGACAGCGTGCGGCAACCTAAGTGCCCGGAAGCGGTCCCGAACCAGCGGCGGGGCTCCGCGCAGTCGCGAGACACCGAGCGCCGAGCCCACCAGTGGTGCCGGGAGTACCTGGGCGGGGCCTGGCGCCGGGTGCGGCCGGAGGAGATGCGAGTTGACCCCGTGAGGTGGGAGGTCAGGGGTCAGCCCCTGACAGTTGCGGGCCGGGGCGGGGCGGCCAAGGGCCCCGAGGATGCCCCGCGGTTCTGCAGCCTCTGCGTGCGGGTCAGGGGAGGACGGGCAGGGCGGGAGCGGGCGGCGGCTGAGACCCCGTGTGGTCCGCAGCGGGGGCCTCAGCAACTTGCTCTTCCGCTGCTCGCTGCCGGACCACCTGCCCAGCGTCGGCGAGGAGCCGCGGGAGGTGCTGCTGCGGCTGTACGGGGCCATCCTGCAGGTGAGGCCGGAGCGAGGTCTGCCCACGGGGCCTGGCAGCTGGCCCTGCCCCACCGAGGCCGAGACGCCGAGGCGCAGGGGCTGGAACCTGCCGGTTTGGGGCTGAAGCTTGCGCTGTGCTGGGAGCAGGATGCAGACCCTCCGCGCTCTGCCCAGCCGCTGGCCGTGCGACTCCCGCCCCTCGCTGTCCATCTTCCTTCAGGGCGTGGACTCTTTGGTTCTTGAAAGTGTGATGTTCGCCATCCTTGCGGAGCGGTCTCTGGGGCCCCAACTCTACGGAGTCTTTCCAGAGGGTCGGCTGGAACAGTACATCCCAGTATGAGGCACATCCTTCCCCAGCCCAGCCCCTTCCCAGTGTCTGCCCACAGATCCCTGACCTCCACACCGTGACCTCCCCCACTGCCCCATCCCTACCCCTTCCTGCCCCAGCCCCCTCACCACCCTGAAAGGTTCCTGGGTGCAGAGCCTGCCACTGAAAACGCGAGACCTTCGAGAGCCCATGCTGTCAGCAGCCATTGCCACGAAGATGGCCCGGTTCCATGGCATGGAGATGCCCTTCACGAAGGAGCCCCACTGGCTGTTTGGGACCATGGAGCGGTGAGTCAGGCGCCTCCGGAGAGCTCCTGCGCACCTGGCTGGACCCTCAGGCTGGGCTCTGACAAAGCGTCCATGACTCTGTCCAGCCGGCCACTTAGTGGATCAGGTGTCCCAGGGTCTAGCATGGTCTCTCACAGAACAGGCTTCCAAACATCTGCCAGACAAGCCATACAATGATGGGGAAATGGCTGGGACAGGAGAGCCAGTGGAGAGGGAGAGTGGAGTGAGTATCCTACTCTTTGGACTTCAGGTACTTAAAGCAGATCCTGGACCTGCCCCCCAGTGGCCTCCCCCAGATGAACCTGCTGGAGATGTATAGCCTGAAGGATGAGATGGGCAACCTCAGGTGAGGGCAGGCAGGACAAGAGGGGGAGGGGGCAGAGAGCACAGGAGGTGCTGCCGGGAACCTGCAGAGGCCTCCGCAGGCTTTGCCTGAGGGCCCTCACGGGTGGCTCTGGGTCCCCTGGTCACTCCTGCTCAGACACATGCCCCTGTCGCCTGCAGGAAGTTGCTCGACTCCACCCCATCACCAGTAGTGTTCTGCCACAACGACATCCAGGAAGGTAGGAAAGGTCATCTGAGTCTTCCAATCTAAGGTGCAGGGGCCCTCAGGCCCTGGCGTGACCAGTACCCCTGCACCCCCAGGGAACATCTTGCTGCTCTCAGAGCCAGAAAACGCCGACAGCATCATGTTGATCGACTTTGAGTACAGCAGCTACAACTACCGGTGAGACCCATGGCTCCCATGGGTCTGTCCCCACTGCGCCCTGGGACTCAGCCCAGGCCTCCATCGCTGCCTCCCCCGCCCAGCAGATTTGGGGGCTGAGTGTCCGCCTTATTCCTCCAGGGGCTTTGACATTGGGAACCATTTTTGTGAGTGGGTTTATGATTATACTCACGAGGAGTGGCCTTTCTACAAAGCACAGCCTGCAGACTACCCCACGCAGGGGCAGCAGGTATGTGGCCGGAGGCTGGGGAGTAGGAACTGTGAACAAGGAAGGTGAAGCCTGGTTGGAGAGGTGAGGAAGGGGGTTAACTAGGAAGTGCTCCATGCTCCCCATTTCCTGACTCTGGTCTATTGATCTTAGCTCCATTTCATTCGCCATTATCTGGCAGAGGCAAAGAAAGGTGAGATCGTCTCCCCAGAGGAGCAGAGGAAACTGGAAGAAGACTTGCTAGTAGAAGTTAATCGGTGAGGAAAGGTGGCCGGGCGGGGTGGAGTAGGGTGCCGAGAAAAGGGGGCCTGGGAAGAGGCAGACAGGGTGCCAGTGCCAAGTGGGGTGGGGGAGCAAGGCTGATGGGAGGAGTTGGGACAGGGTAGGGGTTAGGGCAGTGGGGGAGAAGTTGGATGTGCTCCCAATCCCCCTGCTTCCCCCACCTCCCTCAGGTATGCTCTGGCGTCCCACTTCTTTTGGGGTCTCTGGTCCATCCTCCAGGCATCCATGTCCACCATAGAATTCGGTTACTTGGTGAGTAGCCCAGGTGGCCAGTTAGGTGGGGGAGGAGGAGTCACAGGGGCCTCTGGTCCTGCCTCAGGGCAGCCCTGGGAGGCTGTGGGAGCTCCTCCCAGGCCTGCTCACCAGTGTGTGGGGTGGTCTCCTCCCCAGGAGTACGCACAGTCCCGGTTCCAGTTGTACTTCCAGCAGAAGGGGCAGCTGACCAGCCTCCAACTCCCATCCTGACTCCACCCCACAGCTCCTCTGACGTTCCCAGAGCCTCCCCTGCAGGACCTTGGGGGGAGGGGCAAAGAGCAGGAGGCCCTGGGGACCCCTGAGCCTCCAGTGAGCCCGGCGAGGAGGGTGATCTGATCTCTGCCCCCAGTCTGAGCAGGTCCCCAGGGGCGGGAACCCCTGGGCTGTGTATCTTGAAACAATAAACGAGCTTCTTACTTCACACCCTGTTCTCGCCCTGCGCAGTCCAGCAAAAAGTACCCACAAGGATGCACACAGACTGACAAAGGCACCACTGCTCTGAGCCTCGGTTTCCCCTCCTGAAAAGCATGGCTGTTCAGTGCTCTGGGCTTGAAAGTGGTTCCGGGTCCATTCTGCCGATGGGGGGCCCCTCCCTTACCCCTCTCCTTGGGCCCAGCTTGGAAGTGATAAATCCCCGAGGAACTGGGCAGGGGACGGGAGGAATGGTGCAAAGTGCGCTCTGGGTGGGGCTGCCCAGCCCTTCGCCCTGTAGATCAGGGCACAGGCCGCACAGCTGACACGGGTGACCTTTCCCCCACATTCGACTATTTTTAGCTCCAAAGCCACCCGCTCACGTGAGCCCCTGTGCCCCACCCCCACCCTCCGCGCCGGGTCCCAGACCTTTGAGCAATCTTCACCTTGCCCAAAGCTGCCCTCCCGCTCCCGGTTTCCGCCATGGAGGGGAGGGGTTCTGGTTGCCGCCCCGCATCTGTTTTCTCAACCCAAATTTGGGAGAGGGTGTCAGGTTCCGGTGAGGGCGGGGCGGGGGTGGCCGGCCTGAAGGACACGGGGACACGGGCCAGAGCGACTGGCCCCACACGCAGGCAGGAGTGAACCCGAGAGCTGTGAGTGGAGTTGGGGGCAACGCAGGCCCCCGGGGCGGCACAGAGCGCAGTGCGGGGGCGAGGACGCGCGGGGCCCCTTGCGGTCGGGGCTGGGGGCCCCCGGAGCGCGGCGGGGTCCGGAAGACAACGCTGCCCAGGCACCTCGCCTCCACCCCGAGGCCGTCCTTCACTGCCCTACGGGATCCTGAAGTTTTCCAGGCCTTGACTCCTGCGGAGCCTGCCCTGAACGCCGGCGCGAGGGTTTGCCGCCGGCCGTTGGCAGGGCCGGGGGCCCGGGGGGGCCTAGGCCGCTGGCTGGATGACAACTAGCTCGGTCGGGGCAGGGGCGGGGGCAGGCTGGGGCGGGGCAGACCTGAGCCCACCCAAACACCTTCCTGCTCCCTCCCAGGTGCCAGCCAACACCCAGGATGGCGGAAGCGCACCAGGCTGTGGCCTTCCAGTTCACTGTGACCCCGGATGGGTTCGACTTCCGGCTCAGTCGGGAGGCCCTGAAACACCTCTACCTGACTGAGATCAACGCCTGGAAGAAACGCCTGATTCGAATCAAGGTGTGCACAGTGGTTCTCCTGGCCTCTTCCTGCCAGAGGTGCAGAACAGAGCCTTGCGGAGGCGGGGCTGGGTGTCAGCTGCTGCTCTGTTGTGGAGTTCCTCCACCTCAATCTTGTCTGGCAGTTCTGCTGGGGAACAGGCTCTAGCAGTGCAGAAACCAGATGTGTGCTCAAGGTGTGGAGGGGAGACAGGTGTGCGAGACGTAGCATCAGGCGCTGAGTAACTGGGTGTAGCAGGTATGGGGTGTGGAGGGGGAAGACCAGCGAAGTAGTAAGAACACAGGAGGTGGCCAAAGGGGAAAATCTCTCAGGTGGAGACCAGGACCTCACAGGTGCTTGCTTGCTGCTGGTAAGTGTGCTTGTTTCTGCTCCACAGAATGGCATCCTTAGAGGTGTGTATCCTGGCAGCCCTACCAGCTGGCTGGCTGTCGTCATGGCAACAGTGGGCACTTCCTACTGCAATTTGGACATCTCCAATGGGCTGGTCTATTACATCCAGAAACACCTCCCTGAGAGGTGAGGAGCAGGGCCACCAAGGAGGTTGGGTGAGCCTCAAAGCCAGGGTTCCTGAGCCGGGCAGACACAGGGCGACAGCCACTAGAGGCTGTAGGAGCAGCCTTCCCCTGGCCACCATCATCTCAGGCCCTAGTGTGTGTGTATGTAGCACTTAGTTGTGAGTGTACCTAAGGGGATGCCTCCCCCAGATGGTTCACAGCTGTGGAGGGTGCAGCGTCAGAATTCCCCTGAGGCTGGCCTCCCGTGCACCTCCTGCAGCCCTTTCCCCTCTCCTCTTCTCCGACAGGTTTGGCCCCTACCAGACCCCACAGACACGGGCCCTGGTCAGCATGGCCATCTTTTCCACGGGGGTCTGGATCGTGGGCATCTTCTTCTTCCGCCAAACCCTGAAGCTGCTGCTCTCCTACCACGGGTGGATGTTTGAGGCACACGGCCACACCAGCCGCAGCACCAAAGTCTGGGCGGTGAGCGGAAGTGGTGGAGGGCTTCAGGCATCTGGTCTGAGACCCGAGCACCCGCTTTGGGGTCCTGAGCTGGAAGGGGACAGGCAGGGGCACCGGTGCCTGCACGTATGTTTGTCCTAGTTCTGAGAGCTTGGGGCCCAGCTCCTTAGGTATTGGCTAGTTTGTTTCCATTCCATCCCAATTCCCAGCCCAACACACTCTGCTCTGCACCCCCAGGCCTGTGTCCGCCTTCTGTCCAGCGGGCGGCCCATGCTATACAGCTTTCAGACGTCCCTGCCCAAGCTTCCTGTGCCCAGTGTGCAAGCCACCATTCACCGGGTAAGGGCCCGTGTCAGGCATCATGGTGGGCAGGGTAGGCTGACTTGGGATTTGTCCCCATCAAAGAGTGGATTTGAGAGCGGTTTTGAGTCTGGGTCAGAACAGGGTCGGGACAGAGGCAGCCTCTGCTGTCTGGCCCCCACACTGACGGTAACCTGGCCGGATAGTACCTCGAGTCTGTGCGGCCCTTGTTGGATGACGAGAAGTATCAGCGCATGGAAGTACTAGCCAAGGAATTCCAGGACAAGACTGCCCCCAGGCTGCAGAAGTACCTGGTATTCAAGTCGTGGTGGGCAACTAACTATGTGAGTCCCCTTCTAGGCTTACCCTCACCCCCTTCACATCCTGGCTGCCTGTACCCTGCCCTCTACCCCAGCCCTAACCTCACACCCACCCACAGGTGAGTGACTGGTGGGAAGAATACATCTACCTTCGAGGCAGGGACCCCCTCATGGTGAACAGCAACTATTATGTGATGGTAAGAGGTAGCCACTGGTGGCCCTTTCCACAGGCAAGGGGGGGATTCTGGGGTGAGGCCTGAAGGAAAAGGAAGGTGGGAGAGGCCCTCAGAGAATAGTCAGGAAGCAACTTAGGGGCAATGGGGATACTGAGGGTCCGAAGAACTCAGCAGCCCCTCGTAGGGGCCCTCGGGCTCACTTCACTGCCCAGCCCGGGCGCCATCACTTCCTTCCTGGGTTCCCTCAGTGGCCTCCCGGCTGTGGGCTCGCAGCCATCCTGATGCCATTACCAGGGAGTTAGTTCTCTTAGGCTCGCCGAGGTGTCACTGTGGATCCGGAGCGGCCGCTCTCAGCACTCAGGAGGCCACATTGGCTCCTATGTTGCATGACTGGCCCTTGTTCTGCCCCAGGACCGGCTTGTGCACAGGATGGATCACACAGACATGTGCCCTCAGTGCTCTCCCACTGTCCAGAGCTCACTTTCTAAAATATGTTTTTATTGATTTTTAGAGAGGAAGGGAGAGGGAGAGAGAGATAGAAACGTAGATGAGAGAGAAACTGCCACATTGATAGGCTGCCTTCTGCATACCCCCTACTGGGGATCGAGCCCGAAACCCAGACATGTGCCGTGACCAGGAATCAAACCTGTGACCTCTTGGTGCATGGGGTGATGCTCAACCACTGAGCCACACAGGCTAGGCCACAGCTCATTCTGAATCTCATGCTGTCCTCCCCTTCCTTCCCACACCTGTCTTCCCAGAAACTCACACACAACTCATCTGCACCTGAGGTTTTAAGCTGGGTTTTTTTGTTTTGTTTTTAGTGGTGGGGACCCCTTTCTCAAGGCAAACTAAACAAAACACAAGCAAATAGGTTATGGAAAAACCGCTCAGGTTGGAGCTGGGGCCGAGGAGTGACGGAGTCAGGTGGGCATCTCATTTTTGGCAGGTTCACCTGACAGTGAGCACGGGACAGACTGGGGAAAAGGGACAAGATCCCTCCGGCCACAAGCAGGGGAACCAGGTGGCCCCCAACACCTGTCACACTGCCCTGCAGCCTCGGATCTCTCTCGCAGGACTTTGTGCTCATCAAGAACACGGATGTGCAGGCTGCCCGCTTGGGAAACATCGTTCACGCCATGATCACATACCGCCGCAAGCTGGACCGCGAGGACATCAAGCCTGTGAGTTGTGTTGGGGTCGAGGGCTGAAGGGAGAGGAGGCCCTGCCTCAGCCATGCTGTGCCTCCCTCCTAGGTGATGGCACTGGGCATCGTGCCCATGTGCTCCAACCAGATGGAGAGGATGTTCAACACCACGCGGATCCCGGGCAAGGAGACAGGTATGGCCACAGCGTTTGTGGTGAGCCGTCAGGAAGAGCCCCTCCCTCCCAACTAAGGGCCCCCACAGCGAGGTCCTGCCACCTACTTGTCCCTAGTACCCCTGCTGTCTCGGGGTGTAACTGTCAAGATGGCCAGGTTTTTGTGTTAGTTGGTGTTTTTTTTTACTAAAACTGCCCACCTGCTGCTTACAGGCATGATGCTAGTCCTGGGACCCTGAGTCCCCACTGCGGGGCTCCCAAACAGGGCAGGCCTCCCGAGTGAGGAGCTGCTGCCCTTGACTGACAGGGAGGGCAGCTCGCGGGGTCTGGCAGGGACAGGAGCAGCAGCCTGTGCTTCTGACCCTGGGAGTCTGTGTTGTTTCCTCCAGCTTTGTTTCCTCTTCTGTGAAATGCCTCTGGGGACTGTGGTTGGCATCGAGAGGCATGGAAGCAGCCAGCACAGGCCCTGGCGGAGGGAGGGAGGCCCAGGCAGAGGCCTGGCTCAGCAGGAGCCGCATGGCGGGTGGGCCCCGCCCCGCCCAGGGCTGCCGGGCAGGGAGGTGCCCCCTGCCCACGCGCTGGCTCTGTCACAGACGTGCTGCAGCACTTCAACGAAAGCAGGCACGTGGCCGTCTACCACAAGGGCCGCTTTTTCAAGGTGTGGCTCTACGAGGGCTCCAACCTGCTTAAGGGCTCCACCCTCCTCAAGCCCCGGGACCTGGAGCTGCAGTTCC